AACGTTCAATCGAAGCACGAGGTTAACCAGGGATGCAGTGAAAAAGGACAGCACAGGTAAGAATTTCTTATAATATTTTTTTTAACATTGTGCCCGAAATCCGATTTGATTTTATAAATTTTATTTATTTTATAAATTTCATTTTTTCTCGACGCATCAAGTTATTGAAATCGTTAGATATTTTAAAAATTTAAATGTCATTTTGCGAGACGAACGGTCGAGCCATTTCAGCTGAAAAATAGCAGAAGAGCAAATATGGCGTCAACGTTTTCGCCAAAACTCCCCACTCAATTTTGAAAATTTAAATGTGCATGGCTTCGTGCCTTAAAGTAAATTGCTAGAACTTTTCATACCGTAATTTAGAAAGTTGTAAAGTTTTTTGAAAATTCTGGAAAAATTATATTTATTGTTAAATTTTGAAATTAATTAACAATTATGAAAACATTTAATTTTTTTTTACTAAGTGATGACTGCATATATATATAGCTATTTTGGTTAAACATTGTAAAACTGTTAAGTTGTACCAATTGGTACTGAATCCATATATTATATATTCTATAGAAATGTAAACAAAATTTGAACTTATTAATAAAATATATCTATGAAATATATGATAATTTAATGTGCAAATGTTTAATGACCATATTTGATCGCCAAATGGCATTTTTCACACTTTATTTTTATCTCCGAAACCGCTAGATCTACTTTCCCAAAAATTTATTGAGTTCTTTCAGCCCGTCAATACAAGTACAATGTTTTTTTAACTTCCCGTAGGCTAAGTTATAGTAATCGCGAAAAAATCGAAAATAAAAATTTTTATATATCTTTACGTTTCAAAGGTGTCTGAATATTTTGGCATACCTTAGAAAAAATGGATGTATGTGTGTGTGTGTGTGTGTTCGGAAACAAATTTTCGTCGACGATTTCGGGAACACGGATAAAGCGATTTGAATAATTCAAAAACATTCGATCCGTATTGATAAGGAGACGTGCTGATTAGTTTTTGGCGAAGGCAGGTCTAGTCGTTCCGAAGATATGGGGCAAAAAGTGCCAAAAACGGTAACTCAGAGTTTTTAAGAGAAATGAGCGTCCGATTTGAATAATTCAAAAAGCATTTTACTTGTATTAACAAGATGAAGAACTGATCAAATTTTCATGAAGGCAGGTCTAGCGGTTTCGAAATTCTAGTAAAAAAAAGTAAAAAAAATGCCATCTGGCGGTCAAAAATGGTCATTAAACAAATGCACATGAAATTATCTAATATTTTATAGAGATTTTAATAATAAGTATAAATTTTGTTTACATTCCTATGGGTTCCGTATATTTATAAATATAAATATAAATATAAATATAAACATAAATATAAATATAAATATAAATATAAATATATAAATATAAATATAATATATTTATATAAATATATTTATATAAATATAAATATAAATATAAATATAAATATAAATATAAATATAAATATAAATATAAATATAAATATCGCTTATCCGTTAGACGGCGGCGAGGCGCTTACGCGCTTTGATATTTTGTCTCTATGCAGTTAAAGCAGTACGATTGTTTTGAAAAAAAGTTCAGAATTTCCAAAATATGCCAAAATACAAATTTCTTCAAAAAGTCTTTTTTTTTTTAAAAAAAAGTAAATGTTTGTTAAAAATTTATAGTTTCTCAGAAATCTAATTTTTCAGAGTAAATTTGTTTCAGAAATGTTAATCTTTTAAATGAAAAATAATTTTTGGTACGGGAAGTTCCAGCAATTTGCCTTAAGGCACGATGCCATGCGCCCCACTAGTTAATTATTAAAATCGGACGCTTCGTTCTCTAAATAACTATAAATTTTGCTACTTTTGATACTTAAGCGACATTAAATTTGATTGAACACAGTTTTTACGATGGAGCACGATACACGCATGGAGTGGCTGAAGCTGATCCAAACCGAGGAGTGGAAGTTGTTCGAAGTAGAGGAAAGGAAGCTACGTGCAATTGCGATTTTTTTAAAGAAGTACAGTTGCTCAAGGAGTGTATGACGAATTTGGAATGTGAGTAAAATGTGACTTATCGTTTATGATGTTTTCCTAACATCCATTTCTGTTTGACAGCTTTCCTTATCGGTGAATTGTCAGCTATTTACTGCAATATGGCTGGCATGAAAAAAAAGCTGCACGATATGCAAGGCCGGATTTAGAAATTTGGCGCCGTGGGGCACTGACAAAAATGCCGCCCCATCCCAGGATTTTTACTTAAATAGTTTTTATATAAAAATTCATTTTAAATTCATTACGAATTACACTGAAAGTTATAGTTACACTAAATAAGTTTGTTTTCAAATGTGTTTAAAATTAATAATTGATTAAAGAATACCACATACATAAATATTTAATACTGTTTTTCATAGTTTAATCAAAATGTGTATTATTTATACAAGGAATTGAGTTTATGATTGGTTTTGATTGAAAAAAAAAATGATTTGTGTATTAATTTTTGTGTCAAGAGGTGTTATCATGAGAACAGTTGTTATTAATGCTTCAATATTTACATCATTAATGGGTCAAAAAATATATATTTATGCTCTTTGTGAGTGATATTTTTCCTTTTAAATCATAAGTGCCTAATTGATAAAATCAAAATTAATCGTTTAGTTTTATCTACAATTATACTATTTAAATAGTGGTGCTTGGCATCGCGCCTTAAGGCAAATTGCTGAAACTTCCCATACCGAAAATTGAAATTAAAAAAAAAAAGTTAAAATATTTAAAACTTTGAAAAAATTTAACTTTTTTGGAAAATTTGTGTTTTTTCATATTTTTTTCAAAGCGATCGCGCTGCTTTGGTTGCGTAGAGTCAAAATATAGAAGCGCGTAACATAAAAAATGGTTTTTTAAATTAATTCTTTTTCATTTTTCAAAAAATGTTTTAAAGTTTTTTATAAAATGTAATTTTCAGCAGGGAAAGTTTCGGTAACTTGCCTTAAGGCGCAATGCCATGCGTCACTAGTTAATTTTTTTAGGGCGCTATAAGCTTGGAAGTGCACAAATTTGTAATCTTAAGAGTGCCCGAGATCTGAAGAACATATTTTTCTTCAACTTTCAGCTCGTTTACGAATTTTTTATTATCAAAATTGCTAAATTTTGCATTGCTATCGTATTATATTTTGTTAATTATATTTCTTGAATAAAAAATGTTATTAAGAAAATGAGTTAATTATATTGTATAGATTTTTTTTTCAATATCCAAATTTTGCCGCCCTGGGCAGCAAAAGAAGTGAGTATTCATATTTATATACTAGTTTGAGTTTGATTAATTTCTAATATTATTATTATTATATAGGTGTTCTCAATGTTATTAACCCAGAATTTACAGACAGTAAATTTAAGATAAATATATCAAATTGGTTGCGATATGCTCGGTGTAGGAATGACAGGGCGAGCAAAGCGAAGCCACCAAATGAGCAGAATAATTCCTGATAAACTGTATATATATTTATTTTTTTAATAAATTTATTGTTATATTAATTATGTTATTTATCATTATTATAATAATATGATATGATATGATACATATATGTATCAATAACTACTTTTAACTAGTTAACATTAACTAGTTATTGATACATATACACGTATGTATCAATAACTCTAATTCTTGTGTATTCATTATGTATTAATAATTTTTACTGCGATACTACCGTATGTTGACAGAACAATTACTTTTGGGGAAAAAAATTGTTTTTTTTTTTGCAAAAAAAATGTATATCGAACATAATTCAGATTTTAATTTTAATTCTGGCTAAAGTTCCTAAGATCACTTATATACTTAAAACGACTAATTTTAACTTTGTAATTCAATTTATATAATTCTTATAAAAATTAGGCAATGTTACAGTATTTATAATAATTTATTTGAAAACATTTAATATTCCTCAAACATTTCGTTACGGTTTACGGGAAGTTCCATTAAGGGGCACAACTAGTAAGAAATTTCGAAAAAAACGATTTTTGTTTTTTCCATATTTAGGTAGATCGCACCTCTAAAAATAACATATTAAAATTTCAATCCATATCTCAAATAGTTTTTGAGTTACAGCCATATAAAGAGTATATATATATATATATATATATATATATATATATATATATATATATATATATATAGTATAACGATTATTTTATCTTTAAACGCGTTTTTCTCGAAACAGCATTTTCCGAATTTGCTGCAGCGATTTCTCAAAAACAAATGATCCGATCACTATCAAATTTTTTTTACATGTTTTATATATAGTTCTCCGCAAAATGAACTATCGATTTTTTGATCGGATCAAAAATCGAATTTTGGCAGTCCAAAAACTACCAAAATTTTAGGTAAAATTCGATTTTTTTTTAAAAAAAACGCCGCCATTTTGTCAATTTTTGATTAATTTTTTTTTATCGTAGTTCATTTTACAGACAATATTATCTAGTTTAACGAGAATTTTTTTTTATTTCATCCACGTAGAAGGCCGGAATCACTGCAGCAGTTAAGGGCCTTTTTTTGTCGCGCCGTTGGAGATCGACAATAACTTAAAAAATATCTAATTTTTTTCTTCAAAAATTTTACTATGTACGTGTATTCTTAAAATATGTATAAATATATTCCTCAAATTATGAAATGATTGACAAAGTAGTTTTTTTAATATAAATTCCCAAAAATTACCTTTTTTTAGGCGGTTACACTAGTTGTGCCCCTTAATTTGCCTTAAACAAAAGGTGTGCTAAAATGTTCAGAAACCTTAATAAAGTAAAGATATATAAAATTTTTATTTTAGATTTTTTTGAGATTACTATATCTTACCCTAAGAAAATATTTATAGTAATAATTAATAGCACAATAGAATAAATAAAAACCTGTCACATAAATTTCAAATAAAACGGTCTGTATGTGAATTGTTTTGGTAGTGACATCTTTACAACAGTTGGCAAATTAAACATAGTATCGCCATTTTGTGTTAACCTCTAAACAAAAACTAAATTTATTTATTCATTCAAAAAATATTTATAAAATAATAGTGACAACAAAAAACAGTGCCATTTACATGAAAATTTGGTAATGAGCAATAATAACAGATTAAAAAATATGTAAGTAAAAGCATATCTCCTTACTTTATATTTTATTTGATTAATATACATCTGCTGTATTGAATTGAATGGAAATGCATCATAAATATTTATAAGTTGCTAATTGTTCAATTAACACTAATTATTCGCAATTAATCAAACTGTAAAGTCCATTTGGCCTCATATTAATATGATGAGCGTTGACAGATGCGATTGCCATTCCCCACCATCGACTTTAGTCTAAAATAAATATTGTTCTTTCGAGACATTACACATTTCGGAGTTATTAATAGACGACTTGTTCTTAATTTATACATTTTTTTTAAATAAACTTAATTTTCAATTAACTTCTGTAAAAATTAAATTGGTTAAAATGGAGTGAGTATTGTCATTTTTGTACGAAATATTTTTTTCTAGTGTAGTGCAATAAATTGTTGTATTTTTTATGTTAACGAATTACATAATTCTGATATAAATTTATAATCACAAGTGTGTTGAGTATTACTTAAATATTCTATTAATAGTTCCACAATATGATTTGTTACAGTTGGTTGCATCTAGATAATAAAATATGATAATTTAAAACCCATTGAAGCTGACATGTAGTTTCTTTACTGTCAGCTTTTAAAATATAGTTGAGAAGAAAGATATTTCAATGTTGTTATATATATTTGTTTTGAGTTTTTGTTTAATTTGATTTAAATGAAAGTAAGAATGTTCATATTTTTCTTGCAATTGGAATTAACAAATTGTTGAGAATTATTTGGTAATAATTTACACTTTTAGTGTTGAATCATCCTGTAAATCATATCTACATAAAACTGTGCTACGGTCAAAAATCATTTTCAATATTTATATACTCATTTATGTATTTATCCATTAACATATTGCCTCCAACATATATGAAATCATTTAACTAAAAGCATCAAATATATTATTACTTGTTTATGTATATATTAATAATGATAATAATAATATACCATCCACTCATGATCATTATAAATATAAGAACAATTTAAAATAGTAATCTCAGCACAAATTCTCTTTAAAAACAAATATAATAATAATGATATAATAGAATATCTATTAACATATTTCCTCCAACATATATGAAATCATTTAACTAAAAACATCGAATATATTATTTTTTGTTTATGTATATACTTATAATGATAATAATATTATTCCACCCACTCATGATCATTATAAATATAAGAACAATTTAAAATAGTAATCTCAGCACAAATTCTCTTTAAAAACAAATATAATAATAATGATATAATAGAATATCTATTAATATATTTCCTCCAACATATATGAAATCATTTAACTAAAAACATCAAATATATTATTTTTTGTTTATGTATATACTTATAATGATAATATTATTATTCCATTAATTATCATGAGTGGCATGATCATTACAAATTTAAGAACAATTTAAAATAGTAATCACAGCACAAATTCTCCTTAAAAACAAATATAATAATTATGAACATAAGTATGTAATCACAGCACAAATTCTCCTTAAAAACAAATATAATAATTATGAACATAAGTATGTAATCACAGCACAAATTCTCCTTAAAAACACATATAATAATTATGAACATAAGTATGTGATAAACAAATGAAAACATTTTGAGACTGTTAGATTAAATTGTTGTAGCATTTCAATACCATGGTTGCAATAAAATATTTTAAATCTTTAAACCAAGAGCTTCATAGAAATATGCATATACTCTTTATTTTCAACAGAATAACACATTTTATTTGGGCAGTTTTGTAATAATAGTAATACTAATTAAAGAAACAATGGTGTTCCATAATTTTAGTAAAGTAGAAAATTATTTTTTTCATTATTATAGGCTATAGAAAGCGTTTTATTGAACAAACTCTTCAGAATTTTAATATATTATATGAAATTATAATTCTTATTAATTTAATTATAATTTTATTATATTGGACATTATTATATCAACGATAATTTTAGACTAAACATACACATTCCACCTGAATAGTTTTATGAATTATGGGATGAAATAGTTTCATGTGAATGCATTTCATCAAAATTGCAGTATCATGCTACTGTACTTAGATATCTTGATTGTGAATGATTACAATGTCTTACAATTATTTCTTTTTTAGTGTGATCCAAAAGAATTATGTCTTCAAACTCATCCCAAACGGATCAAATTCGTGAGGCTTACGATACACTATATGAAATATCACGACTTCTAAACACTGGTTTGACTCCAGAAACATTGCAGATTTGCATTCGTCTTTGCGAAGCTGGTGTTAATCCTGAAGCTCTTGCACATGTATTGCGTGAAATAAGAATACAATCTGAGACACACCAAAAATCTGACGCTAATAACTAATTTTGGCAAGTTGGATATGAAAATTAATTAATCATGTTTGTGTCAGTGTTCAAATCATTCTTCATTTAATATATTTTGTTGTCATGTGTTTGTGTTAATTTTCATTTATGTTGTTGTTATAACAATGTTTTACAGATTCTTCATAATGATTAGATATGTTTGGTTTTATTCACAATATTTTGTTGAAACAATATCTATTTTAATCAAAAGCATACATATTTGATATTAAACTTTTGTTAAAATATTAATGATTCTTATGAAAAACAATAAGGACATATTATGAATAATACCAATTGTATTTAATTTTTTTTTAATTAACTTGTGTTGTCTTTTCTTTATTTGTTTGTTTTAATTAATTATTAGATATCATTATTTTATTGGGGTTAAAAGCGGCATTTATTCTAAATTTGAATATTGTTTAAAAGAAAAAATATAATTAATTCATTATAATATGAATTCAATCCATAAGTCATGGTCTTCTGCACTTCTGCAAAAATAATTGTACGTTTTCAAAAAATTAAATTATTAATCTTTATGTTGCTAGTCCTAAAAAAAAATTTCTGTGTTCATAATTGGCAATATACATCTCGATACTACAATATGTATTGTATTTAAATTTGTTTTAATCAGCACATCAAATATGAACTATAAATATGTGGGATCTTTTAATTTTTCTACAAGCATAAAAGTGATCATAGTGTTCAATCAAGCGTTAATAACACATGTTGGTTTCTTGTGTTCATTAGTGCATGATTTGTATGATTTTTAGTGACTATTTAACAAATGGCTAGTATATTTTATAATATTAAATTTTATCATGCTTGTTTATTCTTATTAACAGTTTTTTCATATTTTAAAAAGTTATGTAAACAATTTTCATAAACAAAGTTATAATTTTTTTTATCAATATGATGTCGTAGTTGCATTTTTTCTATAAATTAATATATATTAAATGTTCTAGTTCGCCTCTAATTATATCTTCAAACCTAGTTCGTGATAACTTTGCAATTTTTTGTTTTTGAATATTTGCGCTGTTTCTCATCGGTTGGCACGACTGTTCGCCGTCATTATTGGTTTTGTGCGAATGATAACATGGCCGCCGTGTAACTTGTGTTAAAAAATAGTGAAGAATTTAGGTGTTTTACGGAGTCTTTAAAAACAAGATAATTGGCGCAATGATTAGTTTACGAATGTATTAATATGCGTGCGTGTCAGTAAAATTCGCGTCGGATAGTTTTCGGTGTTTGTGACAGATTCGATAATTATTTATTTTACATAAGCTCTCATCTTTGTGTCATCGGCCGAGTTTTTTGTGTAAACTAACAGTAGTTCGATAAAATTAAGTCAGTATTGAAATGCTCTAGACATTCGCAATGTCTGTTTTTATAGGAGAGATGGCTTGCTGATCGACAGTGACAGCTTTGGACATTACGCCAAGGGCCGTGACATCAGACTTCAAAAGGTAGTCGGTTATAATATATAGTATAAATTAATTGCCTTTGCGATTCGTTCGGAGCCCTGGAAGCATTAAAAGGCACGATCATGGGCAATAATGCCACTTCGGCCAACAAAAAGGTGGACGCTGCCGAAAGCGTCAAAGAGTTTCTCGATCAAGCCAAAGAAGAATTTGAAGACAAATGGAAGAAAAATCCAACGAACACGGCGGCTTTGGACGATTTCGAACGAATTAAAACATTGGGTACTGGATCCTTTGGCAGGGTCATGATTGTCCAGCACAAACCGACCAAGGAATATTATGCAATGAAAATTTTAGATAAACAAAAGGTTGTCAAACTGAAGCAAGTCGAGCATACCTTGAACGAAAAACGCATTCTACAAGCCATTAGCTTTCCTTTTCTGGTCAGCTTGAAATTCCACTTCAAAGACAATTCAAATCTCTACATGGTATTAGAATATGTTCCCGGTGGAGAAATGTTTTCCCACTTGCGAAAAGTTGGTAGGTTTAGCGAACCACATTCACGATTCTATGCTGCTCAAATAGTATTAGCGTTTGAATACTTACATTATCTAGATTTGATCTACCGAGATCTTAAGCCCGAGAACTTGTTGATCGATTCTCAGGGCTATTTGAAAGTCACTGATTTTGGTTTTGCAAAACGAGTTAAGGGTCGCACTTGGACATTGTGTGGAACTCCTGAATATTTAGCCCCAGAAATAATTTTGAGCAAGGGGTATAATAAAGCGGTTGATTGGTGGGCATTAGGAGTCTTAGTTTACGAAATGGCGGCTGGTTATCCGCCGTTCTTTGCCGACCAACCGATCCAAATCTACGAGAAGATTGTTTCTGGCAAAGTTCGTTTTCCTTCTCATTTTGGCTCAGATCTCAAGGATCTGTTACGAAATTTGCTGCAAGTAGATCTGACAAAACGCTATGGCAACTTGAAAGCGGGCGTAAACGATATCAAGGGGCATAAATGGTTTGCTTCAACTGATTGGATTGCAGTATTCCAGAAGAAAATAGAAGCACCCTTTATTCCTCGATGCAAGGGTGCAGGCGACACTAGCAATTTCGACGATTACGAAGAGGAGGCGCTGCGTATCTCCAGCACCGAGAAGTGCGCCAAAGAATTTGCCGAATTCTGAATGCTTCATGTTTTTGTCTTTCATTTTGGAAATGAGTTAATTGCAGTTTTTATGTTGGTCATATTTCTTGTGAAAAGTTGAAAGTATTTAAAATAAAAAGCGAAAAAGACTCTCCTCTGAGCCCCCTTTACCAAAACAAAGAGAACATTTATTGTGAAAATACACACATGCTAATGTTTTTTCATAAATAGGAGTCGAAACCCCCTCTCTCGTTACATAAATATAATTGTGTGTTAATCGCTTATTTACAAGAGAATCATGATCATTAGTAATATGTATGCACATGTATATATGTGTATATGATGCGCATATGTGTGTAGGCATACTGTATAGTAAGAAATATTTAAACAAGATATAGGTATTAAATTACTAAAACAGTTTTAAAGTAAACATTCACATTTACATGGACACGCAGACACAGATATACAATTCATTCAAATTTATATGATAAATTTGAGTGGCATTTACAGGTAGCTCATATTCAGCATTGTTGAATTCTTCAGTTATAAATTATGCAAAATAATATCGATATATGAATCAAGTTTAATAACTATTAATTAATCTTATTTTTTAATGTTGTTTTAAATATTCAGAAAGATATCAATGCGGTGCATTTAATGTGTACTACCTGTATATGAGTTTTTCTTATTAATATAAATACATTACATCCACCTATACATATAGATATATAAATGTGTATACCATTTTATTTGTTGTGTAGTCGTTTTATCATGGAAATCAAAAATTGCTTTTTCATAGTAGTGCTAGTTATATAAAAAAACAAAAAATTGGTATGAAAATTTCTCTAGATGGAAAATAGTAAAGCTGTGTTCTATCCCTTAATAGCTTTGCATCAACTTTCTGCATAGTGAATAGGGCTCCCAATATCATTTTGATATGTATACTGTGATATATTTCCGGCATATATTCAAAACTTTATGATCACTTTATTTATGTTAACAAACGAAAATTTTAAGTAAATTTGTATCCTTTAATGCATGCCTGTATTTCTGAACATCGGATAATGCATCAATATTTTATATTCTCGAAAACTCTGCATCGAGTTGATGCAAAAAAAAACTATCATCACGGCTTTATGTTGTAATCCAGCAAGATATAATTGGTTATATATATATATATATATATATATATATATATATAAATCAAAGATAAACACAAAAATCTCTTACTTGGATCTTTAGGTTTTTAGTATATATTAACGGTCTCATAGAATTGGGGCTAGTTGTTATTATTATTATTAATTGTTATTTTTCATTAAATTGATTTATTGATTAAGTTTTGATTGAGTATTGATTGTCAGCACTTTTTTTATGAAGGGACTTATGCAATATTTTGTTACATTTAGCGATGATTGTCACCGCTAGGAAACACCAAAAATATAATTTTTGAGTTTTGAGAAAATGTGTTTCTTACATGCTGCAAAGAAAAAATTTTGTAACGTGAGTGCATTTATTTTGAATATAAAATTGGTGTGTGATCAACCGCTATAAAAAAAAATTGGAAGAGAGAATTTATAATATTTGGATACTAACACTATTTTTTGTGAAACCTGATGTTCTTTAAATTTTATATATGACATTTTATTTATTGATGTCGTTCACTGTGCAATCTAGTCTTTAAAAAAATGTTTTTACCATTGAATGAAAAAGCTGTATTCATTACATAATGATTTTTTTTTTCTTAACATTTATAATTTGCAAATAAGCCATGTTGTTACAAGCAAGTCATGTATGCGTATACAGATTTTTTTATCTTTCATATATTAAAAAAAAAATTATATAATATTGCAAAATGTTCCATTTGTTTAATGATTGTGGAAGTATTTTTTATTGTTAGTTGTTGTATTTGAAATTTTAATTATTCAAATGATTGTATTATACCAAAATTTGTAAGCGTAAAAAATTATGTATACATGTACAATTATTTATTGAGATAAAAGTAAGGATGCTGTAGTTATTTATTGAATTTATTTATTATCGCATTGATATGGACTTGTGCAAACAGGTGACTGGATGATCATGCATTGATCAATTTATTGTTACTTTTTGAGTAGCACCTAACAATATCAAGTAATGTTTACTTGTTGGCTAAATTATATATTTCTTTCATTATTTATGAGGGTTTGGGTAAAATGATAATTACGAGCAATATATTCTTCGGCATTAAAAAGAAAGTTGGAACGATCCAATTAAGTTACTTTACAATGATTGATAATACCATTTTACTTTGGAAATAAGTTTAACTATTTCAATCTAAAGCTACCTTTGAAATAGGTAGTTTTATTTTATTAAGTACCAAATAGCTGAGTTTTTTTTCATTATCATATTCTATTTCATTCTCTTAAGATTTGATTATGCTTCCAAATAGTATCCACAGGAATAGGAAATAGATGATCAGTTGGTGTTTACCACTTCAATATTTTTGTTTCTCATTTATATTTTAATATTATTTTTATTCTTATATATGTAATATGCATATATTACATATGTGTGTATGCATGTGTGTTATCTAACTCAGCTCATGGACCTGCCTTTCTGCACACAACTGAATTTGTATATTTATACATCAATCTTCTAAAAATTAATTGAAAGTTATTAAATATTTAAAATATTTATTCAAAATACACCATGATTTAGGACATCTTCAGGGCAATAATTTTGATTGTATATAGTAAAGATCTGTAAAATTTTAATATATTGACTGTTAGAAGAACCACCTCAAAGTTCGACGAAGCATATATCAAATAAATGTTTTAAATAAATCTATTTGAAAAGGTTTTAAAGAATTAAATAAATGTTTTTACAAATTTAATATCTCAAACGAAAGAAGTCGTTGCAATGTTTTTGTATCCAATCATAGGAAAGTTCACACACACACACACACACATATATATATATATATATATATATATATATATTTAAAATATGTTTACTAAATACTTCTGGGCAGTACATGAAATACAAAAGTAAAGAATTTACAATTTCTTTATTTATTCTACAAAAAATAAAGGTCTGGCAAAATATATTTCTTTTTTCATTTGGTGTCCTGTCCTGTAGAATTTAGGAATGTTACCCTGAGTAAACTCCAATTAATTTTTATTTTTACCATTTTATTTTACCTATTGGTTTCTGGTGATTGGTTTTGGTCAATTTTATTCAGAGTTGAGGCTGAATACCTAAAATATTGCTCGAATTTATCATTTCCTCGTAAATCAATTCAGACATATCAAATAAAATACTAAAAGCTTAATCATTCACAATAGTCGCTCGTGTGCGCTTGGTCCTAAAACATTTCTAACAAGTCAGGTTTCGACCTATGCCAAAATAATTAAACCAATGAAAAATATAGCATGGGTAGTCAATTCTTATCTATCACCGATTTGTAAATCATTAATAGTAAAATTTGATAATTTCATATTAAATTGTTATGAAGAGAGTTTTATGTACATTGAGATTTGTAAAGGAATCAGTCTTTTGTCTATTTTTGGATACATTAAAAAGCTGGATCTTTTACAAATGGGTCATAGATACGAAATTGATTGCTACTGAATTCAATCATGATTTGAATAATGAATAAAGTCTAGAACAATTTTTGAACAAACGCGTTTAATTCAAAATACGAATTATTTGAAATTCGTTTGGTATGATGTGTTGCTGATGTGCTGCTCCATATCAAATATATGTGATGGTGGTCACATACATAGATGAAATTTAAAAATATATAAATTTCTATTGTTAGTGATATTTTTGCTACAACGGAACGCTTTATAGACTTTATTAGAAAAATGATTTAAATCTTTTATAGAAACGAGCAAATATTTTTAGAAACCGTTGCCAAAGAACGATTTTTTCACGGAGTACTGAAAATTGGAATAATGCTGTTATTTTTCTTTTATTC